TCACCATCTTTCGGGTCCTGACCGGCGTGCTCTCACTCGAACCCTTCACAGAAGATCAAGGTCGGTCAGCGGTGCAGCCTGCTGGGGGATCCACCAATCAGCTTCCTTCCACCTTACAGGTTTACTCGCCTGTTGACTCACCCACATGTCAGATTCCTTGGTCCGTTTTTCAAGACGGACTGAATAGGGAGCTCGCGGGCCGACGCCGAGTGTGCGCGGGTGCTGGGGTATGCCGTGACGGCACGCGCTGCCAGCCATGATCGCAGTGATGACGTTACCACAAGCATGTCAACAACACGGGCTTGGGTCGCCGCCGTAATCCGCGTCAGTCCACGTCCTGAGTCGATCGGCGGACCGGCTCGCGCCGTTCAACATCCGACCAAGATGCATCACCAGCCTCCATCCGCTTCCCTCCCAATAATTTTAAGTACTTTTTGACTCTCTTTTTAAAGTCCTTTTCATCTTTCCCTCGCGGTACTTGTTCGCTATCGGTCTCTCGCCAGTATTTAGACTCGCCGACAACGCCTCATGGTGTGATAGGGTCCGAGCATGACGGGGCTTTCACCCTCTCCAGTGCCCCCTTCCAGGGGACTTGGGCTTCTCCAAACTACAATTCGGACGCCAAGGGCGACCGATTCTCATGGTGGGCTTTTTTCGATTCGCTCGTCGTTACTAAGAGAATCCTTGTTAGTTTCTTTTCCTCTACTTATTGATATGCTTAAACTCAATGGGTAGCCCCCCTAACCTGGGGTAGCGTTCAGGGACACCGATCTAGCGGCCCGATACAGGGGACGGCACGCACACGTGTGGGTTCGATTGGCATCTCATCTACCTTCGACTGTGGTGGCCATCGCTAAGGGGCAACTTTTAGCCTGTCGAGAGCCGGGGCTATCGGGGCTTTCCGGGCGATAGCGACGTTGCATGACGCCCAGGCAGACGTGCCCTCGACCTAATGGCTTTGGGCGCAACTTGCGTTCAAAGACTCGGTGGTTCACGGGATTCTACAATTCACACCAAGTATCACATTTCTCTACATTCTTCATTGATGCGAGAGTCGAGATATCCATTGCCGAGAGTCATTTTCAGATGCAAGCGGCAAAAGGTGTGGCACTGGCTTTGAGGGCTCCGCTTTCGGGCCGCCAGTGGCGCGCTGCTTCTCAGTATTTCCTTGGCGCCTCAGGCACCGAGGTTGGTTGTTGTGCCAAGGGCTTGCGCGGGGAGGCTCGCTCCGCGCGGGGGCTTTCCGACCGGTTCTCGAGTCAATCTTTCGTGGGGCATCGACAATGATCCTTCCACAGGTTCACCTACAAAAACCTTATTATGACTTCTCCTTCCTCTAAATGATAAGGTTCAGTGGACTTCTCGCGATGTCGCCGGCAGCAGACTGCCCATGTCACCACGATTCGAACACTTCACCGGACCATTCAATCGGTAGGAGCGACGGGTGATGTGTACAAAGGGCAGGGACATAGTCAACGCGAGCTGATGACTCGTGCTTACTAGAAATTCCTCATTGAAGACCAACAATTGCAATGATCCATCCCCATCACAATGAAATTTTAAAGATTACTCGAGCCTGTCAGCCAAGGCTATAGACTCGTTGAATACATTAGTGTAGCACGCGTGCGGCCCAGAACATCTAAGGGCATTACAGACCTATTATTGCCTCAAACTTCCTTGGCCTGAATGGCCATAGTCCCTCTAAGAAGATGGCCGCGGAGGGTCTCCTCTGCATAGCAGGCTGAGGTCTCATTCGTTAATAGAATTAACTATACAAATCGCTCCACCAACTAAAACGGCCATGCACCACCACCTATAGAATCAAGAAAGAGCTCTCAGTCTGTCAATCCTTACTATGTCTGGACCTAGTAAGTTTTCTCGTGTTAAGTCAAATTAAGCCGCAGGCTCCACTCCTGGTGGTGCCCTTCCGTCAATTCCTTTAAGTTTCAGCCTTGCGACCATACTCCCCCCGGAACCCAAAAACTTTGATTTCTCATAAGGTGCCAGCGGAGTTCTAAAAGCAACATCCGCCGATCCCTAGTCGACATCGTTTATGGTTGAGACTAGGACGGTATTTGATCATCTTCGAGCCCCCAACTTTCGTTCTTGATTAATGAAAACATCCTTGATAAATGCTTTTGCAGTTGTTCGTCTTTCATAAATCTAAGAATTTCACCTCTGACTATGAAATACGAATGCCCCCGACTGTCCCTGTAATCATTACTCCGATCTTGAAGGCCAATACAATAGGATCAGAATCCTATGATGTTATCCCATGCTAATATATCCAGAGTGTAGGCTTGCTTTGAGCATTCTAATTTCTTCAAAGTAACAGCGCTGGAGGCACAACTCGGCCAGTTAAGGCCAGGAGCGCATCGCCTGCAGAAGGGACGAGCCGACTGGTGCACACCGGAGGCAGACCGATCGACCCAACCCAAGGTCCAACTACGAGCTTTTTAACTACAACAACTTAAATATACGCTATTATTGTGGTTGCTGGCACCAGACTTGCCCTCCAATGGATCCTCGTTAAGGGATTTAGATTGTACTCATTCCAATTACCAGACTCGATGAGCCTAGTATTGTTATTTATTGTCACTACCTCCCTGTGTCAGGATTGGGTAATTTGCGCGCTTGCTGCCTTCCTTGGATGTGGTAGCTGTTTCTCAGGCTCCCTCTCCGAAATTGAACCCTAATTCTCCGTTACCCGTCACCACTATGGTAGGCCACTATCCTACCATCAAAAGTTGATAGGGCAGAAATTTGAATGATGCATCACCGGCACCAGGGCCGTGCAATCCGTCAAGTTATCATGAATCATCTCAGCAACAGGCAAAGCCCGCATGGGCCTTTCTCAAGTAAGGGAACAAATATGCTTCATAAAGTTTTGATAAAGTTCTTCAATCATTGACTTGGTAATACATGTAATCTCAGTATTCTCTTGAATGAGATTGTTGAATTGAACATTGAGTTTCCCCATGGTACTCCTCACATATTCCATGTGAGTTTCCAAGCTAGCAACTTGAGGTTCAAGAGACTCACCTATAGGAACCTTGCACCTGCTTTGCTTAGACTTGTTATGAGCTTGCTCCTCTTATACATGAGCTTTCTCTTGCACTTCCATGCCAACATTTCCTTCCATTATGCAATGCCTTCATCTAAGCACATTGGTTGAACCATGCTTTGATGCCAACTATCAGGGGGTTAGTCTGTCAATTCGTGTGACACTTAGATACTCTTCACTAGAAGGTGCTAAGTAAGCCTGATTTGTTAAGAAGGAGGGTGCTTGGCTAAGTTGAGAAATGAAAGTCTTGAAAGCAAAGGATGATTGAGAGAGCTCAAGGAATGTGAGACTTGTATTTCTTGAGAACTCAAGGATGGAACTCAAAGAAGTTTACAAATGAGGAGGGGTAAGGTATTTATAAGCCTCTCCTTGAATCTAAAAAATTCCTACTTCCTTAATAGACAGTGGAGATTAAATTGATCATATGGTCATTATTGATTCTCTTGAATTCTCTACAAGATATTTACAATAAATATCTAAATATTTACACGAAATTCTCTAGAACCTATATTAAAATATTAATGCTAGAGTTGTGAGGATTTCTCTAGAATGTCTTTGCACATTCTAACCTTTTCAAGGGACCTCTAGAGGATTCTAGAATGTTTTGGACCTTTTTAACCTTTTGAAAAATAACGGATCATGACATATTGCATCAGATAAAAGTCTCCATATGAAATGCTTTATTCTAGGCATGATGCAAACCCTCCACAGTTTGTTCCGCTCTGTGTTTATAATTTCAGACGTGCCTTTTCGACAGATTATAAATATTTTATGACCTAATTGTAATTAAATTAGTCATATTTTGAGCCAAATTGCATTCTCCCAAATTTAAATAATATTTCACATAAAATTAATATTGTTAAACGCACCACATCATCATTGGTCAGATCTAGCTCCCACAAAGTATTTTACTCTCAATGATTTGAAGTGGCTAGTCAAAACAAATTATATTTGAAGTGATGATGAACTCATATTCTTAAAAAGAATATATTTTTATTTAGTTATTGTATAATAAATTGTTAAATAATGAATCCTATTTTGAGACACACACATATACTATATATATATATATATATATATATTAATTAGTTAAGATATGAAAGTTTTAAAATGGATTAATTCTTTTTGGGGGGTTCTTCGTCCAAAATATAAAAAGAAAACTGATTTTTATGGACGCGAGGACACAATGGTCTAGTTATCAACTCCATGGAGATTAACTCAGCCAGTGATTAAATATTAAAACAACGATCTACATAGATTGAATAATATTTTTAAGTGATTGAATAATATTTAATGATAATTATTTCCTACCTAAAACAATAATTTTTTAAAACATTGCTCTTAAATTTTCTCATGACACATAGAGAGAGAGAGACGGGGTACAAGTCTCATGACATCTAATCAGCTCAACATTAAATATATGGTGGAGCACATTATAACAGCACAGAAACGACAAATTAAGAGTCTTCTGCTATGGAATTATCTCATAATCAAATGGAAAGTTAGGAGCAATCATCACATGAAAACGTCCGCTGATGGTCTTAATTAAAATATTTTTAGGTTAAGAAAGAAACAAGAAGAAAATTGGCATCCTATGTCGATCCGCTGATTCCTTCTACGAGAAAGAAAGATATGGACAAGAATCTCATACGTCCTTATCATTTATTACTCATAAATATCTTCCTATTAAAAAAAAAACAATCTTATTGGAAGTATGGTCAGATAACATGCCTTCCTAGTAGTATCTCGTACTATATCCTTTTCAATAATAAATCAGAAGACTTGTTTTATTATCAGCCAGTAAGACCTCTGAATCAATATATGAAACGTTATTAATCCATTAATATTGGCCACAGCTGGCTGCCTTAATGATTTGAACTTTAAATTTTATTTATATTATAATTAATATGATGTAAAATGTTTTTGCCAGATGACTATTTAGAATATATATTAATTAACAAGATAAATAAATCAGGAAAAATTATAGCATATTTGCCAATATAATTTATTATATTGTGAGAAAAGTAAATTTTACGATTACTTTTCTTGTGGGTAAAGAATGTGTTGGATTGTTGGGGCTAACATGCGATTAAGGTTAAATGAAATTTTTGTCATTTAAATATTTCATGAAAAGTACTAAATATCCTAAATTATTTATTAGAGTAATATTGTCCCTCAAGTATAAAAAATCATAGCAATGTTATCCTTTGACTAACAGAGGTGACGATGATTAATAACTTCAAATTAATTTGAGGTTAATAGCATTTTTTGACTTTAATGTGTTCATGAAAAAGTATACATTCTAAAGTTTGATATTGTGGAGCAATTGATACCCATGTCTTATTTCATTGAAACATATGGCATTGTGTTTAAGGTGTTTCATGTTTTGTTGAGTAGGTATTAATTCATCAAAAAAGGAAAAAGGAAAAAGGAAAAAGTCAATCAGTTTGGATTAACAATCAATTAATAATGTTGTCACAAGTTATTTATGTCGACATGCATGCATGCATACATATATATATATATACACATATCATGACTTACTATGCAGACTCTTTATAGGTTCGAGAAACTTGGATTAGCAATCTCTCAACATGTACTAATGATAAACATCAAAACTATGTTTTGGTTGTCAAAAGAAAAATATGACTTTGAAATGGACATGTACCTTTTAACTTGACAACTAAGAA